GGGCTGGGGGCCCCCAGGACTGTGCCCCGCTTCCTGATGGCCTGGGCCCACCCAGGTGCGGATGATCTCTGAGGAGCTGGTGGCCTCCAGTGGGACCCAGGTGCAAGAAGCAGATATCCAAGAGAGGTCCTCAAAAGCTACAGCTGCCCAGGAGTCCAGGGTGAGTGTGGTTCCGTGAGGCTCCCTAGGCTCCAAGGACCTGCCTTGGCCCTTGCTGCCCAGGGAGGCTGCACGGAAGCGGGGTCCTGGGAATAAGCCCAAGAGACAACTTGTGATGCCTGAGCTAGTGCCATCTGCCTAGGCCAGTCCTTGCCTCCTGCACCCCTGGGAGGATGTGGTCCAGCCTGGGATGGGAAAGAAAGAAACCCCGGGTAGATGGGCCCACGGGCACCAGGGACTCAGCCTGCCACCCAACCCCCATGCCCCACAGGCAAGGCCAGTGGCCTTGAAACGGCCAGATGATGTCCCACTCAGCCTCCCTCCCAACAAGCGGGTGTGCACCTCTCCACTAGCCCAGGTGGAGGGCAGCCCTGTGGGCTCTGAGGGCAGCCGGGTAAGCTAACGAGGTGGCAGGGAGTGTGTGGTTGGGAACCAGGGTGGGGGCAGCTGTGACCCCCTTCTGCGCCCACAGTCTGCCCTGAAGCTGGAACCCCTGCACTTCCTGCAGTGCCACAGCAAGAACAACAGCCCTCAGGACCTGGAGACGCAGCTTTGGGCCTGCGCCTTTGAGCCGGCCTGGGAGGAGGGTACATTCTTGGGCCAGCAGGGCGAGGGGAAAGGCCACAGGGCACAAGCAGAATAAGCCTCGATGGGAGTGGGGGTCGGGGATGCCACGTGGAGGGAGGGGGCTGCCTGGGTGGATGGGGGAATCGGGAGGGGCAGAGAGCTTAAAAAATGCCATCAAGGCCAGGAGGAGGGTATTGCAGTGGGGGAATTTACAGAGAATGTTTTTACTAGGCTGATCCCTCAAAACAGGGTACACAGGAGCCACGTCTCAGACTGTAGCCACATGTGGTGGGGAATCCGTGTGTGTGATAGACTGCCAGACGGGCATCGTACTGCACAAGTACAAGGCACCTGGCGAGGTGAGTGCCAGGGCCCTGCTCATGCAGGGCGGTGGGCAGAGTCTTGGCTCCTAGGGGCAGGAGCACCACTTACTCGCTAGGCGACCTTTTTCTTTGATGCTGGGCCTGTTTCCCAGGCCCGATCCTCCATGCGTGTGTACACATATTGCTTCACCCCATGGTGAACACTCCCCCCCTACCCTACCTCCCCCCTAGGAGTTCTTCTCGGTGGCCTGGACAGCCCTGACGGTGGTCACGCAGGCAGGCCACAAGAAGCGCTGGAGTGTGCTGGCAGCTGCTGGCCTGCGGGGCCAGGTCCGGCTGCTACATGTGCGTGCTGGCTTCTGCTGCGGGGTCATACGGGCCCACAAGAGGGCCATCGCCACCCTCTGCTTCAGCCCTACCCATGAGACTCAGCTCTTCAGTAAGACCCTCTCCCAACACCCTCCAGGGTTCCCCCAGCACCCCTGTCCTGCAGCCTGACATCTCAGTGCTCCCTCCTTGGGATGGTAAGGAGCCCGTTGCTGGCAGCCTCATTCCTGGCTGCCAAGGTCGGCTCTGGACATGGTAGAAGCAGTGTGGCTTTGTGGACAACTGACTGGGCTTCAGATCCTGGCTTTTCCCCCAACCTGCTCTGTGGCCTTGGAGCTTCCCTACAACCTGGACCACTCTGTCTGTGACCTGGGTGGATACCCCCGGTGTGGTGAGCCCATTGAGGGTGATGTGTAAGCAGAGGCCTGCGGTGGCACACGTTAGGTTAGAGTAAGGTAGCATTGTAGGCCCTCCCTCCCTGCTTCAAAGGGGTTGCAGCCTGGGATGCAGCCTGCAAGGGGGAGCAGGAGCTCCTCAGGGCCACTTCTCCTTCCCATCTCCTCCTCAGCGGCCTCCTATGACAAGCGGATCATTCTCTGGGACATCGGGACACCCAACGACGATTACGAATTCCAGGCCAGGTGATGTTTTGGGGCAGGGCTGGGGTGGGTAGGGCTGGCTGCCCAGGTGGGTGGACATCTGGGTCCGTTGCCTTATGTTCTCCCTCTTACCTGCTGGCAGCCAGCTCCTCACACTTGATACCACCTCTACCCCCCTGCGCCTCTGCCCAGTTGCCTCCTGCCCAAATGACTATCTGCTGGCTGGCTGTGAGGGTGGCTGCTGCTGCTGGGATGTGCGGCTGGACCAGCCTCGAAAAAGAAGGTGAGGTTGGATAGGGACACCTTGAAAGCCGAGTCTTGGAGCTAGACAACTGCTAGCCCAGATGTCTGACCCCAGGCACACCTGCCAGGGTTGGTGCCCAAACCATGCACGCTGCCCCTAGTGGAGTGCAGGGGGGATGGTGTCTGGGCAGGGACCAGACTTCAGAAGGGCAGGTTGAGGCTTGTGGCTCATCCATGCCACCTGGAAGGCCCAAGACAGTCCCAGCCCTCTTGGAGCCCACAAGCTTAGTGGAAGAGGACAGGCATTAAACAAAGGTGGCCAATTAACACCCCCTGCCTCCCCCTATGTGTGATGTCAGCTATGAAGGAAAGAGAATAAGGTGCTGAGAGAGAGGAACAGGAAGACCAAGGGGACTCTGAGGTGACCAGTGGCAAATGGATAGGTTCTCAGGCTCACGTTCTCTGCGTGAACCTTGCAAGGGAGTCAGGCGGGCAGAGAGAGGTATGTGCACAGAGGGCATAGCATGTGCAAAGGGCCAGTGGTGGGGAGAGCTGGCTGTTGTCTATGGGGGTCTAACCTCAGTTTGGAAGACCACAGGAAATGGTACAAGATGAGGTAGCAAGGTTGTTCAGGCTAGAGTATGCTGCCTTTGCTGGCCATGGTAAGATTTTGAATTTTACCCTCAGTGCAATGAATAGCCTGGGAAGAATTTTAGGGCGGGTGGCAGGAATGAAGTAGCTGCTACATGGAGGGATGCAGTGGAAGCCTCAGCAGACTGTGGTGCTGTCCAGCCAAGTGTTGGGGGTAGCCCTGTGCCATGCCTGGGAGTCAAGCCCAGGGCCTGCCTTGTCCGTCCCTCCCTGCCTACCCATGTCTGCCAGCTCCCCAAATCCTGCGGCATTTCTCTCCCCCATCTCAAGTGTTTGCTTCTCCTCACAGTTGGTACTTCGCTGCCTTTCTTGCTCCAGGCAGCCTCTCCAGGACTCTGGGCAGCTGATGGGTAGCCTTTCCAAGCACAGTGTAACCCTACATATTCAGCAGCCACTCCCCACTGTCCTCAGGGTCACAGCAAACCCCTACCCAGTCTCCTTTCTCAGGCCCCAGCACTCAGCCGTAAATACCTACCCTGCTGGCAGTTGGTCACCCTCCTGCTCAGCTCGGTCCCAGAAGTGCAGCCTCTCCAGAAGCCTCCCAGGCCACACCAGTCCCCATCCTGGAAGAACCAGTCCCTCATGCTTCTGAGTTCCCACCACCTTTGACTCAGGGGCTGGCTCCCCCTTCCAGGGCAAAGCTTAAACCCTCCAGGGCCCAGAACAGATCTTTTTGGTTGCATCTTCTGCCCTCCACACAGGGCAGGGCCCAGAATAGGGGCCCAATGAATGGTTCTCATTGAATGAATGAGAAGCTTCATTAAATGAATGAGAAGTTCTTTGTATACGCAAGAGAAGAGCTGACTAGCGTCTTCCATGGCTCCACAGGGTGTGTGAAGTGGAGTTCATCTTTTCCGAGGGCTCCGAAGCATCTGGCCGGAGAGTGGATGGGCTGGCATTTGTGAATAAAGATGTCGTGGGTGAGTCAGCCGAGCTAGGTAGTCTGGCCTGCTGGGACCCAGGTGGCCCTGGTAAGGCCTTCGTGGGTTGTTTCTACCTGGACTGTGATTTAAGTCCGAGAGCTTCTGAGTGGTCCCCACTGTGGAACAAGAAATGCCTGGAGAGGGGCCCCCCAGACACAGTTCTCCATTCTCCCCACAGCCTCCAAGGGGAATGGCCTGGGCACCATCTGCCTGTGGAGCTGGAGCCAGACGTGGGTGGGCCGAGGCAGTCAGCCCACGGTGGCCGTGGTGGTCCTGGCTTGGCTCCAGTGGTCACCCACCAAGCTGGCCTACTTGTCACTCAGCACCTGTCCTGGTGAGCCCACTGCACACCCATCCTCCCCTCCACCTCTTAGAGCTCTGCCCCCCTTACATTCCAGTCTATGTCCCAGCAGATGAGGAGACTGTGCTGTGTGGGGACGAGGAGGGCAACGTGTGGATCTATGATGTTAGGCATGTCCTGACGCAGCAGCCCCCACTGCCGGCAGCCCCGCAGGCCCCCACACAGGTATGCACACCTCCTCTCCCCCTGCTGGGGCCTGGTGTGTGGTATCTCGGAACAAGCCCAGCCTCGCTCTCTTCCCATCAGATCCTGAAGTGGCCCCAGCCCCGAGCCCTCAGCCAGACGGTGACCAAGACCATGGTGAACACAGTGGTGGCCAACCCCACCTTGACCTACCTCACCGCCCTGACGGACTCCAACATTGTGGCCATCTGGAAGAGACACTAGTCTTGGACAGGAGCTCCTGCCTCCATCGCAAAGTCCCAGGGACAAGACTTAACTTATTCAACTTTTGGGCTAATGACAGAGATGTTTCTATTAGTGAATATTTTTATTAAACTCTCTACTGTGTTAAGAGAAGCCTCGGGGAGCTGCTTGTGGGCCCCATCTGGTGTTGCTTCTTTGAGTAAGGCAGGCTGATGTGGGAGGCTTCCACAGAACAGACTCATGGAAGTACCTGGGTTTTCAGTTACCTTCTGCCTAAGACGGCCTCTCGGCAGCCCCCAGGGTCCCAGTTGTTGGTCCAAAATGAGTTTGTTCCTGCCACCCTCTCACACAGAAATCGGGGTCTCTGGGCCAATCCACTCTGAAATGTGGCCCCCAAGTGGCCCTGAGACAGGTCATCTGCCTCCACTGAGCCTGACAGTCCATCTGCTGTGAAATCACTTCTGCGGCAGCTCACATCTGGGTCTTTTCCTCCATACTTTATTAGGAAGATGAAGCAATCTATGTAGAGGACACACTGGTGTTAGGGGTGAGGGGCTCTCCGGGTATCTCCAGGGAGGCCCGCAGCTGCTCCAGGGACAAGCTGCTGTCTTCCACTTGGTGCCTGGAGAAGGGCTGGGTGCAAGGTAGGAACTGGCCAAGCAAGACTCCTTCCAGCCTTCTGGAATTATTCAATTCCTTCTTGCTTGTCTTTGATGGCCACCTGAGGCAGAGGAAGAAGGCAGCGCACTTAGCTGGAATGGCCAGGTAAGGGCGTTGGAAATTCAGCCCCAGCATCCCTGACCAAGGTCTGCTAGGAAACTGCTGCCACGGCTCCAGAGTGCAGCCACAAACTGAACAGCAACAGTAAACCAGGGAGCTGGGCAGCCAGCAACCCGAGGGACCCTCTGAGCTAGCCCCACCTGTTCCATCACTTCTCTATAGCACACCTGCTGCCTGGGGCAGGAGGCCGGTGGAACAGAGGCACTTCTTGGTGAGTATATGGCACATGCTGAAATCTGAGAGGCTGTGGACCTTTCCCACTCTGTGTGTCTAGACTTTGAGGCCCCTGCCTAAACAGGTGTCACCCCACCCTAGGATGAGCTGCCCCCTAGACAGATGCCCTAGAAGCGGTCAGCACCAGTGAAGAGATTTGGAGGAGCAGCACCAAGGGGGCAGTAGGGACCCCAAGAGTACACAAGGAGACAGACCCTGGAGCACTAGGTAAGGTTCCTGTCCATGGATGCAGACAGCAGTCTCCAGGTCTCAACTCCTAACACTTCTCCACACTTCCGGGAAGCTATGGTGGAAGTCCCTGCTGTCACCACCTCTACTCCATCCCCCCCAAATAAGTCAGAGGAAGCAACCCTGGGTGGCCCTAGGTGTAGGCACGACAACACTGCAGCTCTGGGCAGACAGGCTGGCTTTCCGACCACCCCGCTCCCCCTGCATGTCAGCTCCTCACCCGGAATCGCTCTTCCAGCAGGGAGAGCTCGCTGATGAGGTCTGTGATGGCATTGGTGAAGGCCTCCTGGGGGCTGTAGTCTGGTGTGGTCTGCACACGGATGATGATTTTGTGCTCCAAAGGGTGGGGGACTTTGTAGCCAGCAAACAGCACCTGTGGGTCCTTCAGCAGCTGTCTGCGATACAGGGATGAGCAGCGTGAGGAAGGCTGGGGCCTCATGCCCTTGGAGCTTACCAGGCCTAGCCAAGGGGTCTTCCCGTTGCAAGTGTAGCTGGGGCCCGACACTAGGTGGTTCCCTGCACTTCATTTTTTAGTTGTTTTTTCCCCCAAAAGTCTTCAAGTAAGACACACTTTGGAGAAGGTATACCATATGGAGACTCTGCCCATGCACACCCCCACATCCATAAGAATCAAGAACCTTAACTAATAGGTTTTCCAGTAACTTCTTTCCTCAGGGGAAGTCAGGGACCCTGCAATGACCCCAAAAAGACCTCCCTAGGCAGTAAAAATCCAGCCAATGTTCAGTAAACCAGAACACAAAAGCCCCATTCCTAGCTCAAAAAGAGCATCCGGCACAGCAAACAGGCAGCAGGGGAAGAAGGCCCCAGGCTCTAAGCAGTTAGCAAAATGGAACTAGAAGTCCTTTGGACAACGGGCTGGCAGCTGCTGCCATGGGGTCCTGTTCTGTGAGGCTGTGGTGAGGTGAAGCCTGTATTGTTTGCTGGGCACGCGGGGGTTTTCTCCACAGCAGCTCTGTCAAGTGCAAGCACCATGAAGGAGGGCCCTTGCAAGGCGGGGACACTGGGCTCACAGCAGAAGAGCAGCAAGGCCCCCAAAGAGCCTGAGTGCACCAGTGACTTGACTCAGGGCAAGCGTCATCCAGACAGGTGGGCAACCCCACCCCCTACTTCCACCAGGAGACCAGGCAGGCTTCTGCCCCAGTCTAAACATGCAAACCTAAGAAAGCCACAAAAACAAGTAGGTCTACTTGCGGCTTTCCTGCAAGTTCACTTACTTTAGTCAGATAAATGAGCCAAAAAGAAGTGTGGCTTTGAACAGATACGGGTCGGCGTGGCCCTTTGAAGAAAAGGTACTGGAATGTGAACTGCCAGAGCAAGCAACCAGGACTTCTTGTAGCTCAGAGAGACTTAAGAAAATCTTCTGGAACTTGTGCTTTGCCTCAAAGAGCCCCATTAAACATAGCCCCTGAGAGCCTTTGACTTGGAACTTACGATTTAATGATGTTTCCTAGTGTATGATCTTCTTTGTTGATGGTGAACAAACAGGCATTGGGTACCTTGGTGTCCTTGTTAATGGTGATCCTAGGAAGAGACAGAGGCAAGAGATGGGGGCAGGGGCTCCCCTCCCCTCCGAGTCTAAACCCTGCCCTTCAAGGCAGGCTCGAGTCCCACCTCCTGGAAGCCTGTTTCATCTCTTCATCCCATAAAGACCTCTCTGACTCAGAGCAGCAGTGTGTGTATACCGCGACCCTAGTTACGCTCTGATTCTATGGGACCCTCACCTACTCTGGACTGCTCCTTTTTTCTAAAGAAGTTTCTCAACCTTTAAGCCAGATAATTCTTTTTGGTAGGGGGCTGTCTGCACATTGTAGGATTCCTGGCTTCTACCCACTGGATGCCAGGAGCGCCCCCTTTATGACAACCAAAAATGTTCGCAGACATAGCCAGAAGTCCCCTGGGCGGGGGGCACAATGGTCTCCAGTTGAGAAGCACTGTTCTCAAGGGAGACTGAAGTGGCTGGCAAGGGCTGGACCTGGAGCCCTGCATACCAGGCTGTTAAGAGACTGAAAAGCCAATGTTTAAGAGGGTCTTCTAGACGCTGAGCCCTGGACTAAGCACTTGACATAAATTACCTCATTTAATCTGCCCTTAGATTTACTCATGATTTAATACAGTAATAAGCCCATATTCTAGATGATGAAAGTGGCCCTCAGGCAGATTAACTCACTTGCCCACACACAGAGTCCTTAAGTGAGAAAAGCAAAGCCCAGCCCAGGCTGTCTGAACAGTAGACTACACTTTCCTTGACCCTGCCAGCAATGAAGTCACTGACGCTTTTACATGAATGGAGATCGTATACGAGTCTAAGAGCCACCTCTTTCTGGCTTCAGCAAGGAGAATGAAGGTGGCCGGCTAGGAGACGGAGAGAGGAGGCTGCCAGGTCCCAGAGGAAAAGCACTTCGGAGCCAGACATTCTGGGCTCCAATACAGGCCCGCCACTTCCTGTGAGCCGGGGGATTACTAACCTCTCTGAGCCTCAGTTTCCTCATCTGCAAAGGTAAGAGTCACCACCGCCTGGCAGGGCTTTCTGAAGTTTGGCAGACACAGGCACGAAGCGCTTTGCAAGCGGAGGCTCAGACAAAAGCTGCTTCCGCCCCCTGTCCCCCCCAGTCCCCTCGCAGAGGAGGGCAGAAGCCCCAGAATGTGCAGAAGCTGCCAACTGCCAGTCGAAGGCCTGACCCTCCCCCGCCCCATTAGCTCCACTTACTTCTTCTCGCCTTCGAACAGCAGGAATGACTCGAAGGCGGGAGGGGCGTTCATCCTAGTGCCGCAGCCTCCTCCAAACTCGCAGCTGCCTCCACCACTACCTCCAGAGCGGCTTAACGCGACTTCTTCCGGGTTAGCGGCTGCTTCTGGGCTAGCCGACGACGCCAAACGCTTGTGAGGACCGGCTCACTGCCCCCTATTGGACTGGAGGGTCTTGTGCAGGCAGGAGAACGCGCAGAAGGGACAGGGGCTGGCTGCGCATGAGTGAGTCAGGAAGGTCCCTCCCGGCGTTCGCCCGCCGGTGAGTGCGCTTTGGCGCATGCTCGGAGAGCTGGGAGCCACGGCGTACTGACCTCCTCGTCCAAGCTAAGCGGCAACCCTGAATTCTACCTCTCTTTTCTCCCCGTGCGCCTTGACCCTTTTCGGAAATGTGCCCTTGGAGTGCACAGCAAGAGGCCCCCGAATGGAGAATGGAGCCATGGGGTAGTGGATAGGTGTGGCCGGTGGGGTTGACAGAAACCTCATTGGCTCATGGGCATCCATCCCTTAAGCCAGACGGCTATGTATGAATGCCTGGGCAGATTGCTATGAGACCCCGGCTGTGCTGTCACTGTTTGCCAAGTAGGCTTGTGTCCTAGCATGCTAATTAGGGGGACAATTGGGTGAGGGCTGGAGGAGGAGGCAGGTGTACAGAGGTGTGAGAGGCGCTTGAAGGGATGTGTATCAGTCCCTGTTTTGGTTGATATCCTGCAGACTACAGCTTAGTATAAAGGCCCTACCTGAGCTGTTTGAAGCAACAGGGACTGGAGTCTCAGCTACTGGGGCCCTAACGGCTTCCCAGCTGTTTCTCTAGGTCTGAGCAGCAGCCAAGGAGCCCTCAAGGAAATCTGGAACTTCCACACCATTTCCTGGGAAGGGCCATTTCCTACTTGAGTCTTGAGCCCTGGGGTGAGGAAGTGTCATTCACTGGAGACCTACAGAAACCTTGACTCTCCAGGCCAACTGGGTGGGGGCCTCTTTAACTGGTGAGGAATAGAAGGCAATGAGGGTAGTGCTGTCCCAAAGTTGTAACCCCTACCCTCCTGGGTCATCCTGGAAATGTTTGGACCAAGGATGCTACCATTGCCACAATTGCAGGGGCCTGGAGGTGCTGAGGCTGGCTGCCCATAGCTGGGCTAGGGACAGGTGGGAAGAGGATCTTGACTCAGGCGAGGCTTCACCCTTCTCGCCACTGTGGAAGTCCGTCCTCCCTTGGGGAGTTCTAGTCATACTCACCCTTTGATTCCCAGACCAACATGAGATTCTGGGCTCCAAAAGTTGTCAGCCATCCCCAAATAGAGTCTTTTTTTTTTTTAATTGGGGAACAGTGTGTTTTTCCAAGATCCATTGTTGTTTTCCATAGTTTTGGAGGGCACAGCTCAGCTCCAAGTCCAGTCGCCGTTTTCAATCTAGTTGCAGGGGGCCATCCCATGTGGGAATCTAACCGGCAACCTTGTTCAGAGCACGCACTCTAACCAACTGAGCCACCCGGCCACCCCCGAATCAAGTCTTCAGAGGCTCGATTTTGGTGTGCCCCAAGAGGCGGCCAAGTGACCGTTCCTATCTTCTGATAAGATAGGCCTGCCTGGCACAACTGTGAAAGGGGCTGCTGGAACATGTGATGTTAAGAAATATTGGGGGGCTGGCTGAGTGGCTCAGTTGGTTAAGAACATGAGCGCTGAGCAACAGGGTCGCCGGTTAGATTCCCACATGGGCCAGTGAGCTGTGCCCGAGCTGAGCTGCTGCTGAGCTGCCAACAGGTAGCAGGATGGCTCAGCTGGTGAGAGCACGTGCTCTTAATAACAAGACTGCAGGGCCAGGCGAGTGGCACGTTGGTTAAAAGCTGGCTTGGGACGCCAGAGGGCCACGGTTCAGATCCCACATATGCGGGCCAGTGACACTGCCCTCTACAGCTAAGATGCTGAACAACAGCTCAACCTGGAGCTGGGCTGCCGTGAGTCGCCGGCGACGGTGGAGGCTGCAGCTCCCTGCTGCAGTGGGCTGCCATAAGTTACTGTGTGTAGCAAGCAGGCAGCCAGCGTGAGTGGCCAGCAGCCAGCATGAGTGGCCAGCAGCCACCGTGAGCAGCCGTCCAGAGACCGGAGACTGATCTGCCTCACCCAGGAAGAGCGCAATGATGGTGTCAGCTTGGGCCAGTAAAACAACATCCTCCACAACTAGACTGAAGAACAAAACAACAGCAACTTGTCTGTTCCCCTTCCCCCAATTTCCCAGCGCTGTTCCTCTCCCCCAATCCCCCAATAAAATCTTTTTAAAATAATAATAAAAATAACAAGACTGCAGGTTTGACTCCCACATGTGATGGTGGGCTACGCCCACCGGCAACTAAGATTGAACACGGCACCTTCAGCTGAGCGTCCGCGAGCTGCCAAAGGGCAGCCGGATGGCAACTGGACTTGGAGCTGAGCTAGCTGCGCCCTCCACAACTAAGATTAAAGGACAACAACTTGGCTGTTCCCCAATTCCCAACACTGTTTCCCTTCCACAATTCCCCAATAAAATCTTTTTTAAAAAAATATTGGGAGTGTGTGGCATGTTCTGTCAGTGTCATACTGGCACGTTGTTGAACAGGGCTGACCAAGGTTTACTTATCTAAGGCAGAGATCATCAAACTGTGAGAGCTTGCCTGCCATCTGTTTTTGTAAATAACATTTTATTGAAATAAGCCAAGCCCATTTGTTTACTCAGTCTTTGGCTACTTTTGTGCTCTGAGAGTAATTATGATCAAAACTTGCATGCCTTGGTCCGGCCAAGTAGCGCGTTGGTTGGGAGTTGGCTTGGGACGCCAGCTCTGAGCAGCAGGGCTCCTGTTCAGATCCCACATGAGGGCCAGTGACGCTGCGCCCTCTACAGCTAAGATGGTGAACAACAGCTCGACCTGGAGCTGGGCAGCCATTTGTCACTGGTGATGGTGTAGGCTGCAGTGGGCTGCCATAAAGCTACTGTGAGCGGCTGGCAGCTGGCGTGAGCTGCCAAGAGCTGCCGTGAGCGGCCGTCCAGTGGCCGGCGACCCACCTGCCTCACCCAGGAAGAGCACAATGATAATACCAACATGGGCCAGTGAAGCGACGCCCTCCACAACTAGACTGAAGAACCAAAGGGCAGCAACTTGTCTGTTCCTCTTCCCCCAATTCCCCAGCGCTGTTCCCCTCCCCCAGTTCCCCAATAAAATCTTTACACACACACACACACA